CGCTGCCGCCTTGGCCGGCCTGGCGCGGGTCAGTGACCGTGCCCGGCGTCGGGTCGCCAACGCGCCTGACGACTGCCATGTCCCACGTTGTGATCCTGATCCGCAGCAGGGTGGAGATCAACTCTTACCGGCTTGTAGCAGCATGCGAGTAAGAAAACACCGTGTTTTCCTTTCAGTTTACACTGCGGATAGCAACATTTCTGCTACCGCTACCCCAAACCATTGCGTGCCGTGAGATGCCAGTGTGTTTGGATGTGGACAACCCTGGCGCTGGTGTCAGCGTTTGCCTGCATGATGCCTTCAGCCCAGGAGTGCCGTGCTCCCCGCCAAGGCCTGCCCTTCTGGGGTGAGAACTGAGGCTGTTGAGTGCAAATTAAGACACTTCTACCACCATTAAAACCACATGAAATTGAATTTCCTGGTGTTTGATGTGTGATTCCTGAGACAACTCTTGTGTTTCAGCACGCTACAGGAAAACTGAGACTACGCTCACTTCACACAGCCATGTTAGAGGTGAAATACGCAGTTCTGTGTCACAGCTCCGGATGAATCCTGAGAAACAGTTGCATTTCAGCAGGCACTGAAATTGTATCCATACTCAGTAACAGTATGCCATGATCACTGCTGCCACGCTTCACAGCACTCCCAGGGACTTGAACATGGGCCTGCTTCCCACCAAAACAACAGACATTCCCACTACTACTGTTAATGTTCTTTTTCCTAAAACCTGAATTGAACTTCAGCTCAGGGTAGAACAGGACCCACGGTAACTCTACAGAAAGTTACTATGTCATTTTGCATCACTTTGTCACTATTATATAGGCAACTTAAACATTCAAGCTTACCTTCAGTTTTCTAGATGATTTTGATTTTTTACTAATGAAATAGCATGTATGCTGTCAATTAAAAAAAAAAGCTTTCCCTCCTCTCCCTTTGAATACAATGAGAAATTAATTCAAAGATGAAAACGGTGCCCTGTTCAGAACACAGTCGCTCAACACAGGTTAAGCAGCACAGACATCACCTTAGGAATAACAAAAACCTCAGAGCTGCTGCCGCTACTTGGCAATCTGAGAGCTGTTTTTCTGGTTTAACAGGCTCTGTCTCTGTTAGGTCCCATCCCTGCAGACAGGGTGATTTTCACTCGCATAACGACTTCAATCAGACGATCTCAAAGATCTAAAGTTTGTCAACTTTCAGGCTTGCAGTGATTTACCTTACCATAATACAGCAGATAATGATAAAATCTTTCGCATCATCGTGTCTTTCCATCATAGTTAACAGAGAAAAATCAAGAAAAATCATTACAGCCTGTCTCCAAAATATGCCTTGCTAGTATATTCATCTTAAAATAAATTATTTGCAACATCGTACTCCCAGTATAGATTATCTCTTGCCTCTAAAATGTGTGTGTACTGTTTTGTTGCTACACTGTGGACTTAAATATCAGATATATAGTTACAGAGTTAATAGCAAGGTAAAAATTACTGTTTCTCTTCTTGGCAAAGATGTATTTTTAACTTAGCCAGGAACTAGGATGACATGAACTACAAAACACTGTACAAAAGGCATACACCGTTTCATCTCAAAACTGCATAGCATTTTCTGTCCTCCCTTTGTTCTCAACAATTGCTATTTAAAATTAATGCTGCAACACAATACTAATAATCTTATGTAGCACAGCTGATTAATTTCTGCTAAGATAATGAAACCAAATATAACCAATGATAAAATAATGAAAATAAATTACAACACACTGAGAATTTGATAAAAAGTTCACAAAGCTGAAATCCAGCGTTTTGGATAGAAAGATTTAGAGAATTATCCTATCTTGGGTCACATGAAAGAAGCACTTATAGACCAGAAAAATCACTGAGAATACAAATCAGGAAGTACAACTCTCAAAACCGCCCCCTTAACATAGTAACTAACACCTATTAGGGTCTGTACAGAGGACGTATTTGTGTATTTGCAAAAGGAAGAAGATGTGAGCACGCTTTTCAGTGGTGAAACTATTTTAAAAAAAAATGGTATCTTATTTCAGCAGCAATGGGCCAAGAATAAGAGACTTCCTCTCTCCTGCAACACAACTCACAAGCTTACAGGAGAGCTACTGTAAGTCACATGACAAATACCACTTTAGAATTGGAGAAAAGAACTGAGCAAGAAGAGACATCAGCTAAGGTCTCAGTTATGAAAAAGTAGAAAGAATTCCAACGGTTGTCACAATATTATGGCAAGGTGGGGTTTTTTTCCCCTTAAGTATTGTATGCCAGTATCATTCACATTAGACTTCAGTGTTTGTTGGTTTTTATTTTGCTTCCTCTCACATCAACTCAATACTTATTCCCTACAACCATTCATCTTTGTTTCTCATCTGACATCATTCGCCCTCATTCAAGTTTATAATCCTTTAGTTTGTGAAAACCGTGTTAACTTTAGTGAAGTCCTCTTCTGGAATGCCATCTAGTGGTTTTATCTCAGAAGAGATCAGCTTCTACCTTTTCCAAGACTGAAAAAAGCCTTCAAAACCAAAAGCAAAATATTTTCCACTTCTTCAGTTTTCAAAATGTAAGCTTCTGTAATTATAGTTGAAAAAAACAATGCTAAAAATGCAGTGAAAATAGTTGCTAGGGTCAATACCCTAGGTATACTTACTGTTTTTCTTGTCTACTGTCCTACTCCCCCAATACCTTGATCATATGAAATACTATATAAAGATGTAATTAATCATTAATAATAATGATGTCACTGGTAAACGTGCAGGCCTAATGACTATGAAAAAAGTTATGACAAAGTATGTTATGTAATGTAGTGCAGTGGCACTCTGTCAAACATTTAATGAACAGCGGATTTTTGTCATACAGCTATACTCTTACCTTTTAACTTGCAAAAATTGTATTAATGGTACTGAAAAAATGTGAGTAAACACAAGCTTGCACAGTGTCCTCAGATCTAGTTTGGACATTTTAATTGGGGCTTATAAGCTTAAATCTGTAAATAAATGTTTCCAGAAGAGGCAGGCATTGTTTCCATTTAAATGTTTGAAAGAACCTAGCCAGGTGTGTCAAGAAAGATCCACTTTTTTTTCGTATTACTAAGAAATACTCAAGGTCTGAATCAATAAGATACAAATAAATCTATAAAATATCCATGTTTACATACAAAGCCTTTGTAAGACCCCAGTAATTAAGTCTGTGCCACGTGTATTATGCCAAGTATGGAAACCAAGTATGGCAACATACCTGCTGACCACCAAACCTGTTCCTGCAGCCACCTCAAGGGGTAGTCTTCATCCTCTCCCTCACCCCACCAGTCCAGGGTCTTCCCAGCGCTTCGCCCGAGTCAGAATTAGTGTTTACGTAGGCAGCGAAGTCAGTCAGTTCAAAACAGTGATTCAGCTGAAATCTAAAAAATCTTATTTTTGGTAAGCCTAGTTTTCACCACATCAGAATCCCTGATCTCAGCATCTGCATGGTCATAAAGACACTGTCAGTGGCTGGCAAAAACATACAACCCAAGGTGGGAAAGAAGGGCAGGATCATACTTTTCTACTACTATGATTTTCGTCTCAAATGGCCTATAATATCTGTATTTGTTAACATACAAATACGCTGTTACAAAAATAACTCAGAATGAGGCACAAATACCCTGTTAATATTAAATTAGAAAAGGGAAATACCCCAACGGTTGTAAAACAGCTGAAAAGAATTTTCTTAAAATCATTTTTGCAAGAAATTGGAAGCAGTATTTAGACTGTTAAATGTAAGCAGACATTAGGACAAAACACATTTTTATGAAGTTACTATCTTTAATTTAAAGACAACTGTCAGTAACAATAGATTAATAATTCTTTTTTTCCCCATTTTCAAGAGTTTACACCACTTGAAAATTATTATATTGGCCATCTCCACTGGTCAGAAGGAGGTTCTTCAACTAGAGGCTCCCATGGTTTCCACTGTATCATTTTTCTTGCCAGGGAAAGCTCATTTTCAGCCTGTTAATAAACACCATATACAAACTCTTAAACTCTATACAATTGCCAAAATATTAAATTACCTCTATTTCAGTTCATGATCTCGGTGATGTCACTACCTATCACGGTCACAGACTACCACAAACTTCATCTATAAATATCAAAAGGAACTGTGTGTTATGGGGGTTTTTTGTTTTTAAAAACCGTACTGAACCACCCCCAAATACCCAAACAGACAGTCTGTTGACCTAGTCATTCCCAGTGATAACTTCATTATATTTTCCAGTCTATTTGGATTATCCCCCAATATTTTTTCAATCATCTTCTGCCCTTTCCACCGATTTAGACTCTGTAAGAATCAATATAGGTATGTAAGGTATATACGTAAGCATAATACAGTAAATATGTATTAATTGTGTTAGGTATTAGTATGGTCATCCCAATCACTACATGACAATTCATTTTCAGACTTTTTTTTTTTTTCCTGTTTGATTGATTGTTTTGGAGAAAAGGAAGATATGGAAAACTGCCAATTTTCCGATTAGAAGCCGAGCCAAAGGTACACTGAAAACCATCTTCCCTTTTGTACCTAACTTTAAATTTCCCTGCTTTACCTGTACAATGACTTCCTCTATGTGACCACTATTCAGTTTGTCCTGTAGTTTTTGCACATCGGTTTCCTGTGTATTCAAATACATAAAAATAGATGTTTAGTTTTATTGAGAAGCAGAAAGCCCAGATAAAGCACGAAAACAATAATTTAACCAGATCACACTCTAGTCTTCCTCAAAGCTACCATCAAATTAGCTGGCTTCTATAATTTTACATTATCAAAGAAATCTCACATGCTTTTCTTATTGGAAAACAAACACCAAGCTCTCAATAATAGATACAAAAGAATAGTACTATTTAATGACATCCAAAGAAGCATTAGCAGCTAAGGGCTTTAGTATGTATCTTGAAAGAAAATGCTGATCTTTGCTTTTTATAAAACGATAAGCAACCTACCATCTTAAATATACCAGTATTGCATAGTTTAATGTACTAAAAAGTGTTCTAAAATTCAAAGGCGAGGACTGCTCTAAGATACTACACTGGTAAGAGCACATGCATTTTTTGTGCAAGTGTGTGGAAATTTTTCTACGAATCTTAGAAAAACTGTTTTCCTCTAATTTTCACAGAAAACATCAGTAAGAAATTAACAAATCTGTTTAATACACCAATCAAAATACTCTGGTCGGTAACAAAAACAAACTCCAAGATTTCAATTATTTCTGAACCAATACCTGAAAGTTACATATACTCCGGAAAAACAGCCAGTCATTTTGAAAATCATTCTTCTCACACTAAAAATCTTTTCACGTGTAACTTTTATGAAACAGCACTGTACTTACCGTTTGCACCAACTTAAATCGCTGATTTACAATCTGCTCAGTGTATTTCCTATATGCTGCATCTTTGGGAATGTTTTGCAGGACACCAAGGATTTTTGTGTACAGTATTCGCAGGCGCTGAAGTGATCACAAGACATGGTTAAAACACACAACTAGAATTATTCAACTTCTTGTCCTACTCAGCCTAGTGGCTATCTATTTGTATACAAAATACAGATACTTATGGTACTCAATCCAGAAACGTAGGATTAACAAAATAACTAAGTCTGAACCACGTAACTCTGTTTTGGGTAAGACTGGGATTTGTCAAGACTGGGAAGTTACCACTGTCAGATTCCTCAAACAAAAAAAGAAAGAAAGTTGCAATCTGAAGTACATTTGATGCAAAACAAAAACAATAAAAGCTGTGTTTCTACTACTAAACGTACTTATAAAAAATGAGGCAAATTCACGTCTAAACCATCAGTTTCTGAAAAATTACATAGGAAAGATATAAAGCAGCACAGAAGCTACCAAAGCATAATGAGATTATACTTTTTTTTGGCACGTCTCCTCATGCTGGTGTGAAATTCTGAGTGACAGACAGATTTAAATTAAACTAAAACCTGAAACTTTTATTGGTGGATTTAAATGCAGTGATAAAGGACACAGTGGTGTGAAGAAATTGCAGCTTTTGGGCTATATGTTGGCTGGGTAACTGTAACTGAAGAGGAATGGATGTCCTATAGGAGCAATAAGAAACAGAAGTAGAATACAGCAGTTAAAGAAATATAAAGAAAAACCAGAAAATGAAAAGGGGACTGGTACAGAAGCTATACTTCAACTAACACACTGTTGTTTTCTCTACTCTTGGCTTTAAATAATTGAAAAAAACAAAATTTTTAAGTTCACCCAGACGGTGTCTGACAAGGCTCTGAACTGAGCTAGAATCATTTGTACAGAACAGTAATGATTTTTTTTCAATGGTTCTTTTCAACAGTATTCCTAACTTCTGGTGGCAAAAGCATTTTTTAAATAGAATCACTGCATAGTGGGAAATGTCAAAGCATGGAGAAATTAAAGTATTACTGAAGTAGTTTCAAAGCTCATGCCTCCTAAATAAGCAAGCAAGATGTGGCAAACGTACTTTCATTACTGAGCCTGAGGATGTAAAAAGAAAGTATCCAATTGCTAAATGGGTCACCTAATGTAGTTCCTGAAAAACACTGAAGTATTCCAATCTCAACAGTGCTTGCCACCACAGGGCCTTGATGTGGCTTTGCACTGCACAGTCAGCCTCTATCACGTAAGACTAGCCTATCCCCTTAGCATAGGTATAAGTTATTTCAGTACTTGTTGGAAAAACAACGTAGCAAGGTAGCAAAAATCTGTATGCCTGTGTAGTAGAAATTAAATTCACGAAGAACAGAATTTAAAGAGTTCTTTGCTTTTGCACTGGAGATGAGAGAAATCAAGTATTTGTTCATAGAAGTACTTACACAAAGGAGGTTTGTGAACAAAAATGCAAAATAAAGTGCAAAATAACTCCTAATGATATAAATCAAACCTTTAAGAATTTTCCTCCTTTATCACTTTGGAATATTTTTTACACTTCTGTTAAGTTGGCACTGCTTTAAGATACACAAATACATAATAAAAAGCTTTGATCTCACCGACAATTTCCATTGAATACAGAAGATGACACGTGACATACCTCGTGAGGGTTTTCAGCTACAGCCAATCCCACAAGTCCAGTGGTCTGCATAGAGAGCATAAACACATTTAATATACCTAACCATCTGTTTCCATACTATTTGATTACTTCGTTTCGGCTCAATGTACACCTGACAGAGACCATTCTGTGACACAAGCCTCTGCCTCCCACCACACACTCGTGACCCCACAAATTGGCAGTGTTTTGACCAGTAGCACACAGGAAGAGGAGGGACAGCGAATCACAGAATCATTAAGGTTGGAAAAGACCTCTAAGATCATCAAGTCCAACCATCCACCCAACACCACCATGCCTACTAAACCATGTCCCAAAGTGCCACATCTACACGTTTCCTGAACACCTCCAGGGATGG